GAGAGGAGTGGTGCACTGGGACTTCCTCGGCACTAAGCTGTCTCACTCAAATCCCCATTTCCCTGCTATTGCTTTGTATGACTATTTACAACCAGGACAGCGTGGATTAGGAGTGATTCACAGCGCACACGTGAGAGAATCCACGCCTGTCCTCATTTAGGCTAATACGTGCCGCTAGTGGCTATGGATCTTGGCAGTTTCACTATGATTGACACTGATTGTTATTGAGCTTGCCCTTTATTCTTATCAACGTGCATCTCCTGATCAATAGAGTTGAACACCACATGAATAAAGGCTGACAGTGGGGGAGGCAAACACTCCTAACTTGCCACCAATATGTGATGAATGGGGGGCCGAGACAACACACATGTCAGATATGACACTCAATATCCTCCATATTAATAGCCTTGTGCTCCAGCGTTTTACAGATGCTGCTTGAGGTTAATACTTGTTTTTAGGCTGTCAAAAGACATGAAAAATTGCTGGGCTAGTAACAACAATGGTCAGTCTATGCGTTCATGACATATATATATATACACACACACACACACACACACACAGAGCTGGGTAGATTACTTACAAATTGTAGTCCATTACTGATTACAGATTACATGATGAAAATTGTAGTTAATAAAGTAATCTAGATTACTCACTTAGGTAATGTATTCTGACTACTTTTTAGATTACATTTTATCTAACTTACTTTAAACTTACCATTAAACATACCATATTGATATGAAAAAGGAAAGAGCAAGAAAATATATTCCATTTTTTGATATCAACATCATAATACGCATTAAACATTACATTAAATCAGGGCTTCCCAAACTGGTCTTAATGTAAGAACTGTAGTGGGTTTGTGAGTTGATAAAATACTAATAATTAATTAAATCATAAAAATGTAAAATAAATTATTTAATTTTGAACACTAAAAATAGAAATATTTAATTTGTTTACCTGCATGTCAGTGTGACCATTAAGTGACATCTAACTGTAAACATGCAAATGTGTTGTTAAATTATTGAAATATTAACTTCCTCAGAGATATTTCATGTAAATATTTTATGTCAGAGGGGTCTGGCTGACATAAACGTTTGGGAATCCCTTTGTGGGAATCCTTTGCATGGATCACAAAATTACTTACATGACATTTACATGGCCATTTTATATTGTGAATATAAAAAGCTAAATGGTGTGACACAGGATTTTTAGACAGGAAAATTTAAAAGAGAAAAAAGAAGAATTAGGGAGAATCAATAAATTAAGAATGATTTACTGCCATTGTGTGAATAATACGTAATCCATAAAAAAGTAACTGTAATCTGATTATGAGCATTATAAAATGTAATATACTCTAAATACGAGTACCTGATTTTGGGAAGCTGATTACGTTATCCAGATGGCATGTAATCAGTTACTACCAAGCTCTGTATATATATATATATTCAGTATATGAAGTGTTTTTGAATTCATTGTTTTTATTGAGTTGCTTTATATTTATATAAACTTATTGCAAATTTAAGAGACATTTATGGTGCATTTTTAACAATCTAAAATTAAAAAAATATAAAACAATATATATACACTAGAGATCAACCGATATATCGATTTACCGATATTTTTCCCGATATTTAAGCATTTTACCATAATCGGATATCGGTTTTGTAATATCGGATTTACCGATAAACGCCGCCATCTTGTGGGTGTTTTCAGAATTGCACACAGGATCGCCATTACAGCGCATCTGAGGGGAGGGGAGACAACGGCGTGCACAGGTAAAGTATACTTACTTGCTTTGCTATAATTAGCAAACTTTATTTAACATAACAGCCATTAATGCACAAATTAGATGTGTTTCATAAATGCCTGAAATGTAGCTTGGCTCGAAGAAATAGAGACGAACTCACAGAGTCATGGTTCCTGCCTCCTGTAGTCTAGTTTGTCGGTTATTGTGAATGTTACCCTGAGTGTGTGTGTCTCATCTACCCGTATCTGCCTTGTTGTCTCTACATTAAACATCCTTATTTGAATCCCTGTCGTCCTCGTCATCCTGCCTGCCTCCACACACCTTGACCGTGACAACACAACCTTATGGAAATTAATTATTTATTATCTCCGCGAGCGACCGCTGTTTGAGTATAGTTCTGTGTAAATGCACAGATAAACAGCGCTTTGTCAGCAGGTATTTCATAATCTAGAACGACAAAAACATTATTAATAATTCTGATATAACATACCAGTTGAGAAATAATACGATGTTTTGTTTGTTATATTTCAATATTCCAGAGAATATTATTCAGTTATTTAACATTATCCAGCGAATTATTCTTCACTCTTTAGCCTATTAAACAGCTTATAAATCTACTAAAACTGTAGTTTAAAATGAAGTATTACATTTCTGCATGCAGTTTTAAAGTTGATATGACTTTAATTTATTTTCTCCATTTGAAAACATTAGACATTCTACATTTATTTTGCTTATTGTTAACATTAGTGTTGCTGCTGATGCTTTTTATAAATAAAATTATTTTTTGTAATATGAAGATTAAAATTAACATGAAAGACTACTAATTTTCAACACTTTTTTTTTAAAGATGACTGAGAGGAAAAACCAAAGTGAAGTATGGACTTACTTCACTCAGTCATTGCCAGGGCTGGCAGTTTGCAAAGAATGCCAAATGAATGTGAGCATGGGGTCAAAATCTAAAATAACAAAAAATACCTCCAACCTGTGGACCCACCTAAAGATACATCACTTAACTATCTTTGATGAGGCAAAGAAAAAAAGAGATGCTGAAGAGGAAAATACATCAAGCCACATTCAAGCTTCTCTTCCTATGATGTTTGATAAGCAGACAAAGTGGAAGACATCTGATGTCCGCTCAAAAAAACTAGACAGGCTGATTACAGAAATGATTGCTACAGACAATCAGCCTTTCAACTTTGTTGAAAATAAAGGCTTCCAGAGACTCATGGCTACTGCAGGACCAAGTTATACTCTAAAGAGTGAGAAGTTCTACAGAACAGAGGTGTTCCCCAGTATTCACAGCAGTATCGTTGAGAAGGTTAAAGCACTGCTAAAACCTGATAAAGCAGGTTATAGCTTGGCTTTTACCACAGACTGCTGGTCCGGTACAACTGAATCCCTCATGAGTCTCACATGCCATTTCATTGATGATCAATGGATTCGCAGACAAGTAATTCTAAACACAAAAGCAATGACTGGATCACACACTGGGGAGTACATTAGTGAGATGTTCTTGGGAATGCTGGAAGAATGGGAAATTGACAAAGACAGAGTGGTTCTTGTTCTCAGGGACAGTGGTGCTAACATTGTCAAAGGTATGAGAATTGCTGAACTGCCTGACATGAGCTGCAGTGCCCACATATTACAGCTTGTTGTCAATGATGGCCTCAACTCACAAAGAGCTGTCCAAAATATTCTGTCAGTGCTGAAAAGCTGTGCTACCCATTTTAATCATTCCTTACTAGCCAAACAGTGTTTAGCAGTGATCCAGCAGGACCTTCGGCTACCTGCACATTCCATCATTCAGGCTGTGCCAACCCGATGGAATTCCACCTTGCACATGCTGGTCAGGATGCTAGAGCAAAAAAGGGCTTTGAACATATATGCCAGTGAGCATGGTGGGTTCACTAGCCTGAGTATTCTGTCAGTGCTGAGAAGCTGTGCTACCCATTTTAATCATTCCTTACTAGCCAAACAGCGTTTAGCAGTGATCCAGCAGGACCTTCGGCTACCTGCACATTCCATCATTCAGGCTGTGCCAAACCGATGGAATTCCACCGTGCACATGCTGGTCAGGATGCTAGAGCAAAAAAGGGCTTTGAACATATATGCCAGTGAGCATGGTGGGTTCACTAGCCTGAGTGCTGAGCAGTGGAATATTGTCAGTAATCTTATTGACACCCTTTCTCCAGTGGAAGAGGTCACTCTTGAGATGAGCCACTACGGTATCGTATCGGTTCTAAAAAAATCTATATCGGTCGATCACTAATATACACACTGATAAATATACAGTAAATCGTACAGTAAAATAATCAGAGATTTCAGAATCAATTGTGATTCGATCCTATTCAGAATATTTTGTTTTTGTTTTAGCCAATATGCTAATATTACAATATCGAAATCAATTGTAAGACAATGCCATACTGAATATTTTGTTGTTTAGCAATATGCCACTGTTACACTACTGAAATTGTGAGAATGATTTGTGATAGTCCTGAACATGCTATAGTGTTTTCTAGTTAACAAAAAAGTAAAAAAAAAATAATACAAAAAAATATTATGAACTGATAACAAAGTTTTGAATTCATTGTTTTCATTGAGGTGCTTTATATTTAATTTATAAATTTCAAACTATTATTACAAACCTAAAAGATAAATGTATGTAGCATTTTTCAACAATCTATAATTAAAAATATATTTTTCCTGACACATATAACCGTAAAATAAACAAAAACATTTTCTCTAAGTCCTTTAATCAGAGTAAAAAAAATGATGTCAAACTGGAAATCTGACATATGGATAGAAATTTAATCATTTTGTTTAAAGTGTTTGCTTTCACAAGAAAATTGCCACAGCTCTGAATATGTTTCTCGAGGCTTAGAAAATAATGACTTGAGAAAACTGCAGGACCGTTCAAAGGAAATGTGACTAGTAAAATACTATGTGTGGGAGGAATGAAAGGAAAAGCATATGTGGGGGAGATAAATCCCGATACATGCGAATCTGAGCATTATGATTCTTGTCCTTCTGGGCCTTCCAGATGCAGAGTGACGGCTCTTTTTAAAGCAATAAATTACAGATTTTTTACCCCCGGGGTGGTCTGTCCTGTCAGCTCTTTTAATGCTGATACCAACTGGACATCTTGTAAAACAAAACTCTTCATAAACGCAACAAAATCCCTCATTCAGGAGACACGGGCCAACAAGAAACCTGTCTTTCTGGATGAATACACCTTCCACCGTCCCATCCTTACCTGTGCAATACTGTCCTTCAGGCTAGGAGAGCGCTGTCTACGGGTGGTGGTAGTGGCCATGGTGGTGGTGGTCTCCATTATGGTGGTGGACATATCCGCCGCAGCTGGAGGGGTGGCCGAGGTGGTCTCTGTGGACAGGACGGAGGGTGCGTCCCCAACCAAACGCAGGTTTCCTGTCACCTGCACGTTCGGATCCCCCTCGGCGGCCAGTTTTAGAACTTGCAGCCCGTTGTAGTACAGGCCTGAGATCTGGCCCTGGAACGGCCGTCCCTTATCCTGACCTCCCACCTTTATGGCCGCCTGGCTGTTGAAGATAGTCAACTGTCGACCTGTGATGGATCAGAGAGGAGATGGAAAGAGAGCAAGATATAGAGAAAGAGAGAGAGAGAGTAGTGTGACAGCAAGGAGAGACAGAGAAGCAAAAAGTGACCATCAGTACAGGCTGATTTTGGCGTCACCGGCAAGATGTGTCTAAATCAGCTGATAACACTTTTAACATTTGAACCTGCTGATGGTAATCTCCAATTCTAATGGCTGCCGTTGCTGACCCGGTTAGTGCAGGGGATAAAATGTTGTATTAAACATGATGCCAAAGATTAATCCTGAAACCTTAGGTGGCTCCTCTATGAGGGTCAGATCGAGGAGGAATGGAAGAGCCCCTATCATTATAGAATAATGGCTGTATATTGTCATTTGAGTCTCATTATAGTCTCATTAAACTAGTAGGGCTTGAGCTGTGGATAATTAACTGAATAAGGAGGACCAAATTGGAAAACAATATTTATGAGTATGTAAAGAGTTTTGGATATGTTTTATTCAGAGACAGAGGCCTCATTGATGCTAATCTACATGAATAAGTGTCATCTGCCAGCTCAAATGCTAATGTGTCACTGAGGCAAGAGGAGTTTCTCCTCCAGCCCACGAATACACATACATAGGGGCGCGCACACACACACACACACACACACACACACACACACACTATGCCTCTGCATTGAGGATTTCGTCCCCTGAATCTCCATTGAGTTGTCACAGAGTCGTTTCATTTAGAATATACCACTGGTTGAATTGATCATAAAAAAACAAGAAATCTAAACCACTATTATGAAATCTTTAAAGCTGCGACAGGTAGTCACAGCGCTACATGTTTAATTCAAGTGGTTTTGAATTATAACAGTGAATGTTACGAAATCTGGCTAAAGTTTAGATATAATTTAATGCCAACAAAACCTTCAGAATTACTACTTAGAGAGGAAAAGGATGGTTAACTCAAAGTGCCATTTCCTTTGGCCTCTGAGAGCTGGACTGCCGCCATCCATTTAATCCTGATGAACAGGTACTCTGACACAGTTGATTATGAAGTGGACAGTTGTTATCCCCTCTGTGAGAGCCACTTAATGCTTAATAATGAAGGGTTGCCATTTAACACAAGCAGGGTCTCAATTTTAACAGTTGAAAATAACCAAGTTTGACATGAGAGTGGAGATTAAAAGACCATAATCTTGGAAAGGCATGTCGTAATAGAGTGGGTAGAAGCCAGATGGCCACTTTCCAATTGCACATGTTCTTTTATCGTACAGTGGAAAGATTATTCTGATTAATGAGAATAATAGCCATTTGCCATTTGCCATATCACCCTGTAGCCCAAGACTGGTTACCCCACTGAAGCTAAGCAGGGCTGAGCCTGGTCAGTAGATATTTTAGGAAGATATTTAAATATTTATATTTTGAGAACTGTTTTTGCCTATACATTGAAAGTGAATGGGGACCAAATGACACTGGACCATAATGACTTTTTTTTATTTTTTATATATTTTATCGATTTAGCAGTGTTGAAAGAAAAATGATATATGATATAAAATGATTTATTTTCTTTTTTTATTCAGTCACTGGAATAAAGCAACCAGGACAGTATCTAAAATTTCTCCTGTTGTGTCCTGCGGGACATTTGTGACCCAGGACCACAAAACCAGTCACAAGGGTCAATTTTGTGAAATTGAGATTTATACATCATATTGATCTAGCTTTCCATTGATGTATGGTATAATATTTGGCTGAGATACAACAATTTGAAAATCTGGAATCTGAGGGTGCAAAAAAAAAATCGAAATATTGAGAAAATCGCCTTTCATAGTTGTCCAAATGAAGTTCTTAGCAATGCATATTACTAATCAAAAATTATGTTTTGATATATTTACGGTAGGAAATTTACAAAATATCCTTATGGAATATGATATTTACTTAATATCCTAATGATTTTTGGCATAAAGGAAAAAACGATAATTTTGACCCATACAATGTATTGCTGGTTATTGCTACAAATATACCCCAGCGACTTATGATTTGTGGTACAGGGTCACATTTGTATAAATAACAACAGAATATTCATATTTAGGTGCATTACACCTGCTATTTAAAAATGTGCAATGAGATTTAATTTCCTCGTATGTCTGGCATAAAAGCAAAAAGGTTTTTCTGTGATTAATTTAAGGTTAGACAGATCTTTTCTTTACGTCTTAAATGTGAGACCCAGCAACAGTGGTTAGAACATCTGGTTAGGAGAATGAGGAGACCAAAGAGCCTTTGAGATAGAGTGCAAGAGGCACAGACAAATTCCTCACACAAAGACCAGTCACTCAGTAAAATGTACCATTCATACAGGACACAGACTTGATGTATGAGGGCTTTGTGTCATTATCATTACTTATAGATTAGAACTGATAAATAATTGCACATGTTAAAGGGACATTGTTAATCACATCTGAATGTGCAAAGGCTGACAGCAATTTTCCTCTCATTTGGTTACGAAAATGTCTTTCATTAATATTTAGACTGTTTAACCCTCTGAGTTAGTTCGATTTAGGGGGGTTTAAGACAATTAGCTTTAGTTTAACGCCCTATTTATATCAAACAGTGGAAGTCAAATCAGAACATGAGGAAATGCTCATCGCAAATATATACATTTAAAAATATATATTGATAAAGGATGTTAGTTGGATGCACAAGGGAGAGCTAAACGTCTGAAAATGACTTTTAGACAAATGTAGAACTGAACTTTGGATCACGTTATACTCTGCATGTTATCGAGTTCAATCAACGAAGATATGCAGACTTAGAAAGGTCAGTTTTCAGTAAAAAAAGAGTGCACGCGTATTTGTTTTACACTTAACATTTAGATGTGATGTTAGCTCAGCGAATGAACAGAAAAGGAAGTTTGCATATAGATGAAAAAGGTGCAACCAACCAAAAAGTCTGATAACTTACACATACAGTAGAGCATTAATGCCCAATATTCTTTGATAATGTGCTGATGCAGGTGTCTGAGATTATTTATGCACTTTAATAACATAGAAAGTTTCTTGGGGAAAGTCGAATACCATTTACAGATGTCTCACGGGTCCAAAGATTATGACACAGTTAAGTTTTAGACTATCATGCAAACGGTCCAAATAATATAATCTATAATTGTTTTTTATTCATTACACTCAAAGGGTTAAAGGGGATTTTGAAACTTTATTCTGATTTTAGTGTTAGAAGGAGACAAAAAGCAATAGTCCCTTTAACTGCATGGGATTGGAAAATATAAATCTATATTTTATAGTTAAAGTGTTTTTAAATACCCTTGCTTCAAAATTAGCGAAGTCAGAGGGGATCACAGAAGGAAAACATAAGACAGCAAAAAAATAAACTATTTACAGACAGTTGTTGCAGTTATGGAGCGTTGTTAGAGGGTTAGTCAGGGTTATGTTTAAGATTAAACCTTAATCTCTGAAGCGGTGCAGTTCTAACTTTGTGAAGGACATGATCTGGAAAGCACAAGCCACATGGAGAGGACCGATTGGATTTTCATTGTGAGTGGGCAGCCACAATTCACGGTTTGTTTTGGCCCACAATATGCCAATGCAAAGTCTTTGGTTTTAGGAGGTTTCATTCAAAATGGCTTGTAGCTTTGTGGTTTTAAGGGAACTGCGCCTCTTACAGAGCCTTAATGAGTCATTGTTTAATTAATCCATTTTTATTACCTTTGTCGAGTAGCCACTCGTCAACTACCCGACCAAGTCTGTATGGAATTCTTTGCCTGGCTATAGCAAGCCGTTCATTATCAATGTTCCCTTCAAAGAATTTAGAGAGACAGATAAGAGGTTAATATCTGGAAGTTCAAGCGTCACATGGTTAAAAACATGGCAACAAGACTATCAAGTTTAGCAAGTTAGGAAGTCTAAACGAGCTTTATGCTGGTAGTTATGTGGTTTTAAGGTGGATTCTTAGTTATTAGACAGTTTAGAAGCTTGAGACTAATTAGAGCATGTTTAATTCTGTTTAGAAAGCTTTGAGGACATATTTAGTGATCGTTTATCTTCTAATTTTGGTCCGGTTGATTGTGATGTCATCTTAGCGAATAATACTTGAGGAAAATTTCATACAATCAATAGGACAACAATGATATCAGTGATAATGTCACATATTATAATGTGCAGTTATACGATGGTAGTGTCAAAGCTGGCCCGGAAGACATTTTCTGGTCTCTACAAGAAATCAGAGTGAGGACAATGCAATCAGTGCTGCATCTAGTATCAAAATCTCGAGGTACCTGCATAAATTAGGACACGTGTAATTATAAAAAGACACAAAAGATGTAATTGACTCGGTGTCATGGCTGCCAGATAAGAGACAGCGTGTATCTAGTCTACCGTTCCTGTTTTCTGACAGATCCCTTCACTAGAGCTAAAATGAGCTCTCGGGCCCAATAGGACTCCCTCAAAAGAACAATCTCCTCATCACTGTTTTCTCTTCTCTGCTCTCAACCACCGTCTTGTCAAAATCCACAAGTCATCCTAATACCCCTTTTTACCACGGTTTGGTCAGTTTTGATTGCCACACAGTGATGTTTATTTCCTCTCAGACATCACGTATACAACTTCACACTGGCTGAGACATTCCCGCAAAATTTCAGTAAGTCCTTCATCGAATCTAGTAAATGGGTCAACGACATGATAAAAATCTCATTTAAAACATGCCGACTTCTTTGTGTTTATGTTGTTTTCATACAGTATGGTTTTAAAAGACTTTAAAAAACCATTTTCAAGATTCTATACCATATTACACCAAGTCTAAATTTAATAACTCTAAACATGTAATGTGGTGTAATCGTCATGTAAAAAGCAACGACATACGTAATCATCACATAAAAAACAAGGACCTTTTCTTTACACCTTGAATGCATGTACATATCTGAGTTATATAAAAAAAATTATATATTATATATATATAAGCATAACTAATAAGCAGTGGAAATCACAACAAATAACAAATATTCTAAGAATAACAATAAATATAAATAATAATATATTACGATTTTTTCTTTTAGTAGTTGCATCACCCCCAAATTTTTTACTTTAACCCCAAAAAATATAAATATAAAAAATTTATTTTAATTCATAAATTAAAAATCACGCTAATCATAAAAGAGGTGTATTCAAGTCATCATATGTACAAATAGCCAATAATTTAAAAACAAATTAAAAGATAACATGCAAAAAAAGATGACTGTCATGCCACTGACCCACATACTGTAAAATTACAGAAATTCTTTTTTGCAGTTAAAAGTATTCTTTCTTGAAGGAAAATCTTGGTATGCCAACTGTCAACAGCATTTTTTTGTTGACATACCACATACTGTCATGTGTCATGTTCCTACTGTGACAGCCGTGTGTGATACAAGCCTTCCGTTCGTCCTACCCACCCTGCAACCTAAATGAGGGCCAAACCTCCCACTCCCATAAGCCTGTTAAAAGAGCTCATGTGTGGCAAATTCTGTGCTGAACCTTCAAAGAAAACTTGAAATAGGTCTCGTCCGTGATTATGCGACAAAAAGAGTGAAAACAAACCGATCCATCCAATAAAGTCTGCTCTGATGCATTGCTATTCATAGATTCCACTAGATTCTTATTTATGGGGCAATGTAATGGTGTGTTGAGCAAAATACCGAGGCGAGCGGTCAGTTGCAACCGCGTCCGCAGGGAGCAGCAAATCTGCCATCGGGGAACATATCCGGTCATCTAATCCTCAGTTTTAATTAACTGAATTAACTGAAGCCATTAATCTAAGCGATACACAGCCGAGTTCGTTTACACACGTGAGCTCTGTGAGTATTGGATGACACGCAAGACCTATATCATCATTTTTTTAAATCCCCGGGATGACAGGTGCCACATAAAAGCCGTGCCATTCCATTTAAATGCACATAACTCAGTTTTAAAGGAAGCATGTCACGACTTTGAAGCCGGGCTTTATCCCTGCGCTTTGGCAAGGCTGCCCCATCTGACTCTCGCCACCTGAGGGGGCTTAGGGGGAGACCCGGAGGATAGGAAGCCTATGTCGCAGCAGTAGAAAACCAATTTTCCCTTTCAGAAATCAGACAAAATCTCAAGCCTGAGCAGCAGGGGCGCAGCGCCATTCAACCTCTGGAAATTTCGAGACAAGACCCCACACATGGGGGTGGAAGGAGCATAGCAGGTGAGCCGAGGCGCCGCTTTATTTGGCTAGAGCTGTATTTTTGCTAAGGACTCCTTGACATTGCACTAACCTGCCGTGAAGCAGCACATTTGAGAAACCGAATGAAAAATGAGGACGGGAAAGATAGGATTGCTATTAGAGACGGAGAAAATGTCTTCCGATGGAACAGCAGCTATGAGAGGAAGGCAGCTCCCTAAGCACACAGTGGGGAGAGAGAGAGTTTGCTCAAGTTTAATTGGAAAGCACACAAGGCCAAGGGACCGCAGAGCGAGATGTTTGTATAGGAAGGGGACGGTTCATGGGACGACTACTGCAGGGTTGAGATCATCAATCAAGACTTGTTACAAAAGTTTAGGGCTGTGCAATATCAGTTTACGGCGCCGACTACACACCACAACTCGAGAGCACCAGGGTTCAGAGAGCAACCTGCAAGAGGCGTTTTGGCTAATGCTAAAAAAAGAAAGCGTGCTTTGTGGTTCAAAGTTTGCTTGCAGTTCAGGGATGGAGGATCTTCACAGGTGCAGAGACACCTTCCTCAGCCTGCCTAGAGCAAAGCTGGCTGAAGCTGAGAACTGTAAAGGATCCAAATCCATCTCAGGCTGAATGTATTAGGCAAGGCAGCTTGGGGGGAAATGTGTCAATTTGCAATTGTTATTAGATTGTGCATGTGGTGGTTATCTGGGCGCTGCATGTGGTGACTCATAAACTCTCTGGGAAGAGTTTGAGGGTAAAAACAGCGCACTTCAAACCCAAATAATTCACATTTGAAATTATAAATCAATTTGTACCCTTCAATAAGGCATGCCGTCAACATGGATTCAAATCCAGGCCGAGGGCTTCAAACAACGTCCCTCTGATGTGCGAGTAGAAATATACAGTGTCTCTCTCTGACCCCATGTGTCCATTCCCAAGGGAAGCTGCCCCTAGTATTTTTACCCCTCCCCTCCCCCCGCCACCCCAAATGGCTTTCCCTGTCTTCTGCTGGGTCCTACCTGTTGGGAAGCGCTCGATGACGGGCTGGTTGTTCACTTGGAGGGTGGCGTTGCCACCACTACGCGTAAAGCGAACCACGTGGTACTTGCCGTCGTTCACGGTGACCGCAGGCTCATCTATGGTGATGTCATCTGTGCCCACATTGAAGATCACACTGACCTTCCCTTGTTCCTGTGTAAGAATGTTTAGAGGTGGACATTAGGGATGAGTCATGATGGTTATAGTCGATTAGTGAGGTCAAGTAGTGTCTAGATTGTGGGCACTTTTGGCCCTGTGGAGTTGTAATCCAAATAAATTCACTTAAAAGACACTTTTTACACTTTCACTGGTTTATTTAATTTGTTCAATAACAATGTCCAACAGTGCAAACACATACATTGTAATTCTGACATTTTAATCAGTGACACTGTAGTGGGAAACATTAAATGAGCCAAATGCATTATTATGTTGCAATTATATTTTGAGATAATTAAAAAATGTAAAAATTACAGCATTACTGGAAATGAAGCACTACAAAAACATTCTGCTCACAAGAGATATTTTTCTTTTTTTCACACAAATTGTACACGTTATTAAAATAATTTTTACACAATAAATATGTTAAAAAATTAAAAGGCATATGTTTACAATTATTATTTTAATTATATATATATATATATATTTTTTTTTTTACATATTTAAAACTAAAACTAAAAAAAAAAAAAAAAAAAAAAGATTAAAAATTGATATAAAACAAAATAAAAAATCTATAAACTTAAGTAAAAAAATTATATGAAAAACTAATTCTATACATAAAAATAATTTTAAATAGTAGTAAAACCAAATGAATGAAAAAGAATAAAAAATATATAAAAATGAAAAATAAATAATGAAAAGTAAAAGGTTTTTAAGACATTAAAAAAACTTGACACAAAAGTGTCCTAAGTTGATTAAACCTGCCTACACATGTATTTTTTTATATTTTAGACTTTTTAATTAGTATGCTGACAGCGGCACAGTTTGTAAACGCCCCCTATAAAATGTGTCTGATTGGATTCAAGTGAACCCGAAACAACAAAGCCCTGTAATTACACAGGGCTTTCTTTAAGACCAATTAGTTGTCTAGCTGTTTTTTTGCACATGGATATAACCAATATAGATACAACATGCACCTCCACATGACCTACACATCCAGAAAAATCTCTGGATCATGAAGCAATTTAAAACAGCGAAATTTAAAGGTATTGCATGTGACAATAAAATGAAATGAATGATGGCGAGAGCGATGGGGAATATCTTGTGAGCAAAAAGAAACATCTGGACATGCTACAGTGGCTCACCCTTGGGAGAGGAGCTCAGCGGTGTCTTTTGTAATGCAGGAGGGGAAATGGAGTGTGGCTCCATGTTTTGCATTCATCACCGCTCCTTCTCACAAAGGCACACACACATTGGCTCACCAGCTACTGACATCCTGACATGTATAACTACTGACAGTTTCCTGCTGTTTTTATTTTAACCGTGATTCATTTCCCCCCCAAGAACACTTCCACCTGCTACTAGCCACCTCTGGGGGGCGCACTTGAGCATTTAACAGTTGACACCTCAGAAACGCTACCTCGTTCTTTTTGGAAACATCACATTGCTAGCATGAAATGTGTTGCCATTCTACAGCTTTACCATCGTCCTGTATCAGTCTCTAGAAAGAGCCAAAACAACAATAATAAAAAGTGCTTCGTGTTCTCTGACACAAAGCCACAGATTGATAAAACTTCCACACACGCGTAGAGTTTGGATATCTTCTTTCCTTCCTCTGACCTCAACTGACAGGTTCTCATTGAGATGCTGATGTCTGACAAATATCAAACAGAGCATGAGGTGAATGCAGAGTGTGTTCTGGAATCTAAAGGGCGGAGATAACAAACTAGCGAGTGTGTGCTAATGCTAGTCTGATATCAATGTCTCCTCACCATACAAATAAGGGCAAATCTACTGAATGAATACACAAGAGGATTTCATCCAAATGTTAAACTATACAAAAGCAAAAAATAACAACAAAAACCAGAACTAGAAGAAAGAAAAGAGAACATAAAAGGTTGTGTTTTCATAGAAAGAAAAAATATTTTTTTCATGCTATCAGCCTGGTTTGACAGTAGACAAGTGAAACTTGGTCTTTCTTGAGATGCTGATTGAGTCTTACTTGTTAAACTAGTTAAAATTCACACCAGTATCCAATACTGCTGCGGGAACTTTAACAGCAATGATGAATAACTGAAATTCCTCCAAAAAAGAAATAATTCAATTTAAATGTCACTTCAGTTCAAACACACTTTGCTGTTACAGATTCACTGTACCATCACAATCCATTTTGATTAAGTAAATCCAGGTAGAAGAATGACAGGAATGAAGAAGGTTTTTGCTCGGATGGAACCATGTTATGAAACACTTCATCAGTCTCCTCACTCTCCATTTCACTCTATTTTTCATTTGGTTCGAGATACTCCTATCTAGTATGAACAATACTGGGAACAGAATGATTCACAGGGTATGGAAAACAGCAGAATGTGGATAAAAATATGTCTGACTCGATCACAAGGACATGACTTTCTCTGACTGAAGTAGCCAATTGATAGGAAATGATGCATTTTACTGTTGCATGGATAGACTGAACCTCTTTGCAAAACTATAAGCATAATGACTGAGACAAAAGAGAAAAAGTCCAGTTACACAAATCATACTCACAAATTATACATGAATCGATCACCATTTCAAGTAGTCAACTGCATCTGCATAAATCTTTTTGCAAATTGGGGTCTAAAACAATGAAAGCAGTGCATGAAGATAAACAAAGCAATTCATTCTCAGTGCATTCCCCCTCATTGTTATATTGTTCTGAAATGGCTTTGTCTTACTGAAGTTCACATACTCAGAAAATTCAATAGACATTCTCATCTTCAGTCATTGGGACATTACCGACAAGTAATGTTCGTACTTTTGCCTCATCTTAATGCTGCTTCTCTTTTCCATTCTGCTGATCCTGCACATTTCACTCCTTGTGAAGTATTTATTCAAAGAACATCTCTTTTCACACGAAAAAACTGGCGAGTTACACTTCAGCAGGTGTTGAAGTGTCCTCTAAAGAACTTTAGTCCAAAAGCCTCTGTCCTCAGCAGGAATTAGAGACAGAAAGCATAAGTGTTATTTGTTAAACTCGGCTGTAAAATGTAGCTTGAAGACTCTCTTGGACAATGAAACGCAGAGATATTGAAGGACAGAGTCAAGAGTTGAATAATGGATCCTTTATTCCAAACTGCTCAATCTGTGGTAAGGGGTAAGGGGCCCATCGGTCCCCTAAGTGCACAATGACCTCCCGATCTCATGACCATAACAGACGGCCAGCAACATCATTCATGACTAGAAAGAGAAATGACAGTGATTTATGTTGTAGAGCCTCAGTGTTGGGTGCAATACTGATGATGCATATGAGTGAAGGGCATTGTGGGTGACTAATCTCTCTAGAGCGCAGTGCTACTGAGGCAGGACAGAATCACCTGTCAACAGGCTGTCCCTGCTGGCTAAAGTGCAAAACAACTGGCTTTAATGCCCAGATGTCAAACATCTGGAAAAACAAAATAAAACAAAACTGACTGAGCAAATTTTGTAAAGGGAAGAAGATAATGCAAATAAAATGCCCAGATAAACAAGGGCAATGAAAGATACATGCTCAAGGGTGAATTTACTGAACAGTTGTGCCACAGAAACATGCATCTCAATCACAAAGCACGTGCAATCCAGTTTAATCAGATGCACACTGGTTTAGCAGTAGTGGAACATTGATGTTGCGTCCTACACAACCTAACACTCAGAACCGACCTGTGTGATAAAATATGCAATTTTTTTAGTAAATTATTCCCTCAGAATCAAAATAAGGGGGTGAATTAATGTGGGAGCTTTAAAACTGTTTTACACTACTTTTCTGAAAAACTTTTCTGCAGACCCAATATCACTCCCTTTGTTGCCCCCAGAGGTTGTCTGGAAATGATAAAAAAACAATAATAATAATTAAAAAAAAATATATATACACACATACTACCGTTCAAAAGTTTGGGTCAGTAAGATTTTGCTTTTGAAAGAAATGGAATACTTTTATCATTTATTCAAAAGGGATGCATTCAATTGATAAAAAGTGACAGCAAAGACATCTACAATGTTTTTAAAGATTTCTATTTCAAATAAATGCTGCTCTTGTCATAAAAGAATCCTAAAAAAACGTTGGTTGGTATGGTTTCCATAAAAATTTCAACATTATAATTTTTAATAATGTTTCTTCAGCACCAAGTCAGCATATTAAGGTGCAGTCACATTCCCAAAATTTTGCGGGCAAAATTCGGTCCGTTGTCAATAGTGTAGTGATCTATGAAGCACTGCTCACACAGAAGCCACTTTCAAACCAAGCAGCTTTCTGTCGGTCAGTGAGGCAAATTCGTGTGACCAAATTGAACATGAGCAAAATCTGCACAGTGAATTTTTTCACCCTCGTGCGAAACTCCCAATCGCATGGATTCCTATTGAAATGAATGTAATTCTCTTGCAAAATTTTACACCCCCCCCCACCACTACCACCATATAAACAGATCTTCATACCCATAAATATATACTGTATTGCTGACTTGGAAAAGGCTAGGAGATCATCATATTTGGTGGTCCAAACATTAAAAAGTTCAAAAACCCCTGAACTAATGTATATTGAGCAAACATAATTACAGTTCAGGTAAGATAAACTGAGGACATGTAACACTTATGGTGAATATAATCTCCCACACACACACCACAACAGTCAAACTGAGCTGCACTCTAATTTGCCCTTGTACTGTAATAAAGCTCCTTTCTCTCCCTCATATGGCCTCTCAAGCACATCATCCCCCTGCTCCTACTGACCCCGTCTGACCACACAGGCATTGAGCTGTCACATCCACTGCAGCTTCTGTCTGAGCTGGGAGAGTTTATAGGATGGAAGCTGATGAGGGCAGAAGTTGAAGGAGAGGACACAATCATTCTGCTTCACTCTTTCCCTGCCCCCATGCCCTGTGGGTAACCCCAGTGCTGCTTTAAAATGGATAATGTCCTCCACACAAGGTGAGTGAGCGAATGGATGCCAGTGGCGATTCTAGGAATTTTTTAAAAGAGGGGAGACT